CAAATGTCCGTCACGGCCAGCGAATTCTGCGGCTGGACGGGTGGTGCTCGGCGGAAGGTGATGAAGATGCGCTGCGAGGTTGCAGAGCTGTTGTTGACATTCGCGCAGCGTCCATATGGTGTTGCCTGGATGACCTCACACCCCTGGATGAGACGCTCCTTACCTTCATAGAGCACCCTGAAAGACAACGAGTAAGTAAAAATGTTACTTTGGGGAAAAAAAAATTGGTGAAGACTAGAAGAATTTTAATATCTCTGAATATTTATATATTTAATTTTTTTTCTTACATTTTTTTTCATCAAATCCAATATTGCCAAAATCAAACTGCAACTTTTATCTTTATCTGTTAAAGTTCACTTTACACATATTGTAGCCACGTTTGGTCTTCGTGCATATTCACTTTTTGTCCTCACTGAGGACCAGTACATAGTTTTACATTCACAGTTAGAGGCTAAACTCACCACCAACTTCATCTCATAAGTAGCAGAGCACCACCACACTGGTATGTGAGGTACAGACATGGAACTTAATGAAAAGAATCAGGGAACTGTTCCCAATCGATGTGATAAATAAATACAACTTACACAACCATAGAAGGATAAGAAGATCATAAATAAGAGAATGCAGGGACACTATGGGTGCTAATACAGCTTTGCCCCCCTGCAAAACCAAAGGGAAAAAAAATAGCATATCTCTCTGGTCGGTTATATTTTTCCTAGCAGTAAATTTTCCAAGTAATGATCTTAACAGTCTGAAGTGAAGGTTTCCACGGAATCCTCCAAAGTAATTATTGACAGGATAAATCCCCAGCTGTCTTACGTCTATGCCTACTAGCTATTTCCATCTTCCGTGTACCAACTTTTATTTCCTGATTGGACGCAGACAATAGAAAACGGTGACAAACAGAGCAGCGCCAAAACTGATAAGAGGACATATTTGATATAAAAGAGATAAACAACTAAATTATTTCATAGATAAGAAATAACAAACAGCAGCTAAACCCAAAAAAAGAGAAGACTGAAGTTGACAGAAACCTACAATCTAACAGAAAAGTTACCCACGTCTTAAAAAAAACACATTTACTATTACTTGAATCCTGTGCTGCTCATAAGAAGACCTAGAACAACATGCCTGATTTCAATCACCATCTGCATGATATAAAGTCACCTTACAACATCACATTATTCTCTAAACTGCATAGACGGTTAATCTGGACACTCTGAGTTACCACCACAAACTGCACACTAAATATTAACACATCACATGCTCACAGTGTTGGGAAACATATTTCCACAATGGAAAAACAAACATTAGCAATTCAAGGGTTTTTTTTTTTTATGTCCTCTTTAGGGCTACACCGATATCTGCCTCTTTAATTGCTAAATGCTCTGCTGTGTGGAGCAGCTACTGAGTCAGGTGTTTGTTTTTTAAATCTGATCAACCTAAACAGTAACCGTGCAAGCTGTAAACCCCAAATAATAATCAGAAAGGTGCTAAAATGAGCAGGAACTGCAGGCGGAGTTATCTGATCTAAGGGTTTTATTACTAGTAACTGTAGCTTTGAGTCTCGTAAGCTGTCAGAAACATTATGCTTACAGAAAAACACAGAAGGGCTGATTTCTGTAAACTCCACGCTGCTTAGCTTCAGCGCAATTACATAGTTAAAATGCTAGAAGGTACACACTGCTACTATATGAAAGCATCCTTCCCATGGGAAACAAAGTGTATGCCAGTGAGACACTAAATAAAGGGGTTAAACTGTGGCTCTGTGGTAAGAATAATCTCTGGTTCTCCTGTTTTACAGAGAGGATCAGTGTGTGGTCAGCACTGCTTACTTTATTCTGAAAGCTCTGGTTTCTCTTTAAAGCCTCGGTAAGTCTGTCTTCAGTGAGTGATGTGATTCAGACTTAGTAGCTGACTCATTCACATCCCAGACAGTAAAGTGGTTTTCGTATCCAGCTCACAACAGATTAAACCCTTTAAATGTTACAGCTAAAACGTTCTGTGTGCTACCTGTCTCTGCGACCTGCTCCCTCCCACATTGAATTTCACACAGCCAAGAGCTGCAGTCTGGAAAGCCATCAGTGCCCCACTGTGTTGGATTTTTTTTATTTTTTGCATGACTGCAGGGCTTCTGTAGCAGCATGCTCCATGTCCTCCCTTTCCATCTGGACAATGCCACGTGGGAGGCCAAAAGCTTTGACTCCTACCCTCTTCAAACTAGGACTAAAAACACACTTTCTGATCCATGGGCAGGGCCAGAGGCAGCCGTTGCAGATATAATAGTCCTGAAACACTCCATTTATTCTGAAAAGAGTGCAGGACAAATCCAAAGAGGCCAGGAGGACAGTTGCCAGCAAAATTCTCATTTAGGCAACAAAAACAGGGTCTTAATGGGCACGGTAAGCAGTCATGCTCTGGAGCCCCGGGCTGGGAATGTTGGACAACAGAAGGAGCGATAAATGATTTACGCTTCACTAGATTTACATTTAT